TAACATTCCCAAAATCCTACATCCTATTTTATATATGTCGTAGAACCAAAGATCCCACAACATGTAACTGTTTATCTTCAATCCTAGTTAACTCCCTTTCAATCCCCTTAAAAAGCTTTATTGTTCCTCTCTTTCTATTCCACCCAAAATATGATTCATCTATAACCGATCCCTTTATGACCCAGCTTATTTCCAACAGGTCATAAACCATAGTCTATAGATTAGATATCACCAGGCACCACAAAAGAATATGGTTACATAAATCCGCTTTCATTCTTGTATAAAAAGCGGCCATCAACCATAATTTTTCCCATTCTTATGTTAATATGAAGAATTGATTATGTATGGAAAAAATGTAAGAATTGATTATGTTAATATGAAATAACCTGTTTTTATCTTCTCTGATTACACTAAACCTTTTTCCTGAACTACAGGTTGCATACATGTTCTGGGTTCAAGGCTATGCACTCAATGAAGCTTACAGTCTGCTGCTGGTAGTTTTTCCTTTGTTCTGATTTATTCATAAGTGTAGGAATTTCCCTTCTATTTATGGAACTGCATCTTGAAAATTTAATAGTAACTGGCCATATAGTTTCTTCATTACAGTTTTAATTCTGTTCTGGAGTATTTTGGAGATATTATCTCAATGTAGAGCAAAAATTTCTAGAGTGAATTAACCTGTATGTGGAGATTCAAAGGAAATAGTGCCAAATATCGACTACATAGCTACAGATCTTAATGACATTTCTCGAGTAATTATTGTTTCTTTCCTTGCAGAGCAAACGCTCATGCTTCCCAAAGTTGGATGCTATCAAAAGTGCAACAGCTGATATTGTGAGTCGTCTTCCTTTTCCAAGGGATGAATTTAGGCTTGACCCTCCATTTTCTTTCGTGGTGATTTCATTCATTGATATTTATCCTCTCTTTGGATCAATTCCATATATGTGACTTGGCAAAATTATGAGGAATGAAATATATTAATTTCTGCACCTTTACAGTAAAAGTTAAAAATTAAATGGAAAATGCTCAAAGCCTTGCTTACAAAAATTGCTGTCCAAGTTCATTAGAATCCATGTGACAGAAACCATAAACTTTATTTGTTGTTGCATCTGTGTATGTTTGCATGCAATCTCTGTCTCTCTCAGGCATATAGATTATCCTAAAACCTGAGCTCTCATCCTTATAGAGGACTGCACATTTTGAGAGGGGAAGAGAATGTGATTATGCTGTTCCTTTTTTATCGCATTAAATAAAATTGCTGATCCAGAAAACTACTTTTTTGCCCCTTAACTAATATGGTTAAGAAACATTCTGTAATATGTTCACATAAGTGGTTCAATAAACATTAATTAATATTGTAGTCTATTTTAGTCTTTTTGTTGTGCATCGTCAGGTCTTGAAATATCCCACCTGCAAAAGAATTGTTATGCTTTACAACCAAATGTTTGTTTTGCTACCTATGGTAGCACTTTTAAAAAATGGACAGAAATAAACTAGAATAGCAGTTATTATCCTGATTTGTTTTCGCTGATGATATTATAATTTGTGAAATAGAATTCTCAAAAAAAAATTCTGAAAGAGAAATCCTAGAACCCGAGCTCTTCTTTCTTTGCTTTACATTCAATAGAAGCATTAATTGAAACTCATTCATTATACATATTATCATTTTGAAGCTTACAGGGCTCAAGAAGAAGATTGTGACTTTGGCGTGGAAAAATGGCAATTGCTCTACAGTAGAAGTTTCTGGACTTGATATTGGATGGGGGCAGGTATATTCTGTCCTTTTAACAGAAAAAAATTGACAAGAATTCCTTTTATGATTTTCAAAAATAATTTTTTATCTACCATCAGTCTTGGAAGTTGTTTGGAGTTGCTAATAGAAATGTGCTTAAAGTGTTTGGTGCTCATACATAGCTCAAAACACTCACATTAGGTGCCAAACACTCTCTTAATATCTCAAATGCCTGGACTCTATGTAGAGCTGCAAGATGATACTGGTGTCCTTTTTCATGGACAGCTCTAAGTGCCACCATGCTGCATCAGCTGTCTTATAAACTTCTTATAAAAAATTTTTACTAGACTTAGTAGATATATTTTCTCTATAACAAGAATCATCAAGAAGTCAATATAAGATGGTAAATATAAAATATGGGAGCTTGTTTTACGAAAAAAGGTGTCTGAGCGGGAAAGATACTTCAGATTGGTCCTTAGGTTTGCATCTGTATGGCAGGTGCTAAATTCATGGCAACTAAACTCTGAAAAAAGATATGGTTTCCTTGAAGAAACAAGCAGCCAATAGTCACCGTTAGTCCTGTCTATGCATCACATTTTCATTTTGAAGGCTTACAAGATGGCAGCTCTATTGACCTGTAATACCAGAAAGGACTAGTCTTTCTGGCTGATGTTTCTTTTTTTTTTTTTGAAAAAAAAAAAAAGGAAAAAGCTTGTGGCTTAGCAGATCTATGAATTCTTACTTTTTTATTTTAGCCTGAAATGCTCTATTGGTCCATTTCTTACTAATAATAAAGTCCACTGTCTGATGGGGATTGTCTCCAATTATGAGTATGGTTGCTAGGAGAATATTGGATTACTTACCTACTGAAAATAACATCATATTATTTGCTAATTAGTATCCACATATATTTTTTTGTTGAGACACCTGCTTAATGTTAGCAGTTTGTGTTTTTTGCTTGCCTTCGGTAGATGCCAAAATTTGGAGAATATGTAGTTTGTGGATTGACTTTTCCTAACATGGTCTGTAAACCTCTTGAGAATTTGAGAACAACGTTTGGAACACTTAACTATTCCGGATTACCCAAAAAAGAAAAGGGGATTGACTTGATTATTACCCTTGTTATATATTTTGATTACATTTTTATTAGAAACAGGTTCTTATTTTTGCTGTTTTTTTTCTCCAGAGAGTACCTTTGAAGTTCGACTCAGTACAAGGTTTATGGACTCTCAAGAGAGAATTGCCGGTAAGTGAGTTTTATGAAGTACATTTTTAGTTTTAAGAATGTTTCTTCTAAAAATTTGGCTGCATTTGGCGTACGAAATTTTTATTTCCTATACGTATATTTCTATCTTACATACATATAAATATATATAGTATCGAGATATACATAAATGCATACATGATATGTATATAACCTTTTATGCATAGCGTGTGGAAGATAAATATTAAAAGTTTCATGCCTTAATTTTTACGTGTTGAAAGGAAAGTGTTTTTGTGTTTCATTTTTCATTGTCCTCTTATTAGTGCTGTTAATAAATGTGCTGAATACATCCTGTTACACGTTACTGGATTTTTCATTTGAATTACCCACAGGGAATGTCAGTTTAGAAATTGAAATTTCAAATCAATATAAGCAGAACATTGCATGATACTACCTCTTGCTTTACAGGAAGGGCGCTACGAGTACAAGTATATAATTGATGGAGAGTGGACATGCAATGACTTTGAGCTTGTTACAACTCCTAACGATGATGGCCATGTGAACAATTATATACAAGTAAGTCTCAACTGTCTAATTTATGTGTGGAAAAATTTAACACTAAAATAAAAGTCCAAAATGTAAAAGACAAAAAATTGATTGCTAATAATTCTCTCAAGGGCATGGGCTCCTCTTTGGACCAATTGTTAACCTCTATTTAGCAAATTTAGAATTTTTATGAAATTTATTTACAAATTATAGTTAATTCAATTAGGAGAAGGTCTAAACTTCATTGAAAAATTGACCTTAAATAAAATTTTACGTGGAATAGAAGTGATGTATTCCAAATTCCATCAATTTTGATATGGTTTAGAATGGCATTATCTTAATTCTAGACTAAACTTTTAATGGGGACTGTTTTTATTCATCATGCTAATGTGTGTTTAGGAATGTAATTCTATGAAATTACTAAATTTATACCAAAGATAATCTTCACTTAAATTTCATATTCCATTTGCAGTTCTCTTGCGAGAATTTGTTTAATCCATCTCGTAGGAATAGTCAATCCTACAACATAAGGAGACATATCAATCATGAAACAAATTTATGATTGACTTGGAATCAAGTCTTCGATATATTCGAAAGTCGGATAGTCAACTCAGAATTTAGTCAAGAAACCCTATTTGATGATTAATGTTGTCTGTGTACAGGTTGTGGATGATGATCCAAGCAATGTCGCTGCAACATTGAGAGAGCAGTTAACTAGTGAGGATCCTGATCTTACAACCGATGAACGAGCGAAAATAAGACAGTTCCTTGAAACTTGTCCTGAAGATGATGAATAAATTGCAAATACAAGAGAAAGGAAGGTGTTGTCTTTCTATGTAAAGTAAGATGATAGAAGAATAACTACCAAGAATAATATCTGTACCATATATCATCGTGAAAATTTTGCAGCAGTCACTAAATATAAATAAGCTGGCTTCTTTAAGCTTTTATATTTAACACCCACGACTTTATTCTTGCACCGATATTACTCACAAACATATTGACGGCTAATGAATTTTCTGGTGTTCCAGTCTGTCTCCACCGGGAAAAATGTTATATCATCCCAAGGATTTCGATGATGGTAGAAGACAATTGGTAAGATTATTTTTGGAATAAATCGTTGTAGAGTTTGTTTATAAATTTCCACTATATTAAATTACAAAATAATGTAAATTTTATTTAAAAATTAAAAAAAAAAATGAACCTCATTGATATTATAATTTGATTTGATATTGGCATTCTCTTGTTTGGATATATATATTTTTTTTAGTGGAACTTGGATATAATTTTTATTTTCAATAAATATTAGATCTAATTTTTAATTTGTTGTACCTGTTTTAATTAAAAAAAAAATTAATTATTATAAATTTTTTAATTTAAAATTTTAATAAATTTATTAAAAATTAATTTAATTTAATTATTCAAGTAAATTATATCCAATATAATTTTTAAAAGACAATGATTGGTGAGATTGATGATTAGTAAGAGAAGTTTTTCTAAGCTCTCAAAACGTTTAGATTGGTAGGACTACATAACATGTTATGACAGCTTTGTTTGTGATCTGCCAGCTTTTGTCCTTTCCCTCTTTCCCTTGACTAGATCTAAACAAATGGACCCAGGCGGTTCACACTCTTTCCTCCTAATTCTATAAATAATTTGATTAACTAATTAATTAAATTATTATTATCATTATTATTATTAAATCTTCAATGCCTATATTATTAGATAAGCTTTGAAATGCTACAACAACTATCTTTGTCGAACATTAATTAGTTGACGTGCTAAATTAAATCAGGTGACCCAAAAAGGAACTTACCAAATCCCATTTGATTAAAGAAGAGAATTCAATGTTAGTGTGTTGAAATTAATGAAAACATCTTACAAGCCAACGGTTTGGTCTTTCTTATGAATGAATTAATACTGCCTAATTAATTTAACAAGATATTCATTTGGTATTCTTAGGTTACTAGGTTTTGTGTAATGACCAATGTCAATGTGTATGATAGGTCGGTTCAAATCTTGTCGAAACATTATTAATACAATGTGCTAGTAGTTTATCAGTCTACATCTTACATAAATTAAATAAACATGATATTAATAATTTGATTAATTTATTATTTGTTACAAAAACTTTTTTACGGTTTTTTAAATTTATGTTAATTTCGTTAAACATAATACTGCATAAAAATTATAGAGTACTTTTAAAAGAATTTATGAATTATATAAAAATATTATTTTAAATAGAGTAAAAATATTTTTAATAAAAATATTACTTTAAGATTTAATAAATATTTTAAAGTTAATTTTATTGAAAATTATAATATTATTATTTATAATAAATAAATATATTTATTAGAGATGAATAGCAATAAAGTTAAATTAAGAAATTAATATTGAAGTTTAGATAGATAACTGTTACACTTTAATTTTTTATAAAAGATATATAACATAAATGATGTGTGGATGGAGATATATTTTAAAAGAGTAAGAGATGAGCAAGAGAAATTTATTAGAAGAATGAGGTATAAGTGAATAAATATGTTAACATTTTATAGATGTTATAATGGGATAATACATTAAAATGCTCTTGTACTATTTAAAAAGTTCAATTCCATCTTATTATTATTTTTTATTTAAATATTGAAGTTTTATATTTTATTCGAATAAATTCTTATCGATAACAACGCATATTAATGTTATATAAATGCTCGCATGATAAATGACGGGTGCATTTATACATGTAGTTTTAAAAGTGTTGCTGGAATGACAGTCAGGTCGTCACCAGCAATCACTTTTTTTTTTTTAAATTTTTAAAAAAATTATAAATTAAATAAAATTTTATCAAAAGCAATTAAGAAACATAAAATTAGAGAAAAATTCTCAATGCCAATGTTAATTCAATATTATTGATTCCCTGTCTAAATATTATTATCTTACTCGGTGATATTCGTAAATAAAATTTTGTAATGACATAATTAATAAGATAGTAATATTTATTAATTTTAATATTCACTTTGACTAATCTTTTTATTACGTCCGCATATATTAATTTCATATCATTTTAAGAATACATATTTAAATAGATAAATAGTATAATTTGAATTTATTGATGTATTATCGTGTTATATAATTTTTTAAAAAAATTTATTAAAAATTTAAATAAATAAATTATTTTTATATATACATGTAATGAATTAAAACTTAAATTTTGTTTTATAGTAAGTAATTTAAATAGATAATTGGTATTTAAAAAAATAAAAACTTTGACCTGTCATATTCCAGTGTCACTTGTATATATGTATATAAGATAGTGAATAATGTATGTAGTAGATTTTATGGCAATCACTAAACGAAGTCGATGTTCCATAAGCGCGTGAGGAAGATGGACCCAGCTCTTTCTTCCGTCTTTCGTTAGACTGAAAATCTCACTGATCCTTCGCCCACTCATCATCTAATTCAGCAGACCATGCAAAAATGGCAGCAAAGACAAATTTGAAGGAGCAGGAAGGGTAGGAAAGAATTAATAATGATATCAATCATCATTCCGTTTTCAATGCCAAATTCTCACTGTTTTACAACTTCCTCCTGTCTACTCAAAACTCCATAACATTTTCCTTCACTTTATCTTCTCCCAAACATCTCGAGAGAAAATTAAAATCCTTCCTCCGATGGGCCGGAACTCACCTCGTCTCGAGATCGACGGAAGTGGCGGTGGCAGTGGCAACGGCAATGCTACCAACAGCCACAGCAGCGACCTAGGGTTCCACTCGATCCGAGATCGCTTCGTCTTCAAGCGGAGCTCCAGCCACACTCGCGACCGAACCAGGTCTGCTGTCGACCGTCCTTCCGGTAGAAACCGATCACATCCTGTTGGCAGATCATTGAACCGTAAGGGGTTGCTCTCCCTGTTCAAGTTCCGAGGCGCATACCTTTTCTACATGGTGATTTTTTTCGCGGCGTTCGCGTTCGCCATGGCATCGATGCTGCTCCAAAGCTCCATCACCTCCGTGTTCGGCCAAGGGAACGAGAGGGGGAGATCGGTCAGAGACGACCTCAGGTTCGGGAGTACTCTGAAGTTCGTGCCGGGAAGGGTTGCGAGGAGGCTAATGGAGGGAAACGGGCTTGATCGGTTGCGCACCACAGTTAGGATCGGAGTTCGCGCCCCGAGGCTCGCTCTTGTGAGTTTTCTGATTGTATATGAATTTTTGGGTTCTTTTTCTTCATTGAACGTTTACTTTAATGAATACGAGTTGATTGTGGAATTTTGAGTAATATTTGCTTCTTTTTTCTTGTTCGTGGGAATCAATATTTGTTTTTCACTGTTTTCTTTTTCTTCTTTCGAGTATCGTATTTTAACAACTATGTTAAAAGGAATTGAAGCGCTTTTGCATGGAGACTTTTTGTATTAGAAGTTAGTTGGTGATTTTTATGATGCTAGTTATGCCGAGTTTGGGATTTCACTGGTCTTTACGATTGAAAGCAGCAAGGATCCAGTGTTCCATGCACTTGGAAACGGGATAAGGAAGAAAAGCAGGGTGCCTGGTAGTTGCAAATCTGGAATTATTGAGAACATCGGAAATTAGTTAAAAATCCATAACTGGAAGAGACGATAATTGAAACAAAAGTTCACCAAATAGATTTACTGAATGTGATAGTTGACGAATTGATTGAGTGATAATAGATTTGTTAGAAATAAACTGAAAAAGGAGTTTTAATAGGTGGAATTTGTAGCTGCTTTAATGCGGTGCTGCTGCTGACATGTGAGTTGTGATTTTCTAATTTATGGAGGTACTTAAATAGGAAAAAGGTATGAAATTCCTGTTTTATTCACCAATTACTCTTGTAATTGCAAATGTGGAATTGTTGAACAATTGTTCTGACTTCAGGTGTAGGGAAGTCCTTTTAATTGGAGCATAGTTGGAAGAGACAAATATTTGATACCTGATAGATTTAGTGAATGATCATTGACAAATTCATCATAGGTTTCTCAATGGTCTTAATCTTCGAATTAAAAAGAATTATAATGTGTTGGATTTGGAGCAGCTTTAATGTGGTGCTGTTACTGAAGCAATGTTCATGACAGTGATGATTCTCATTTTTAGAGTTCTTTAAACAGGAAAAAGGTGGGGCTGCCTGTTTAATTTTCACCAATTATTCCTTAAGTTGTGAATGTGTACATGAAGTTGATATTGGCCGTAGTTATTATGGCACTTGAGTTACCTTTGCAGAAACTGTTATATGGCTTTTGAATTTTCTTCCTCAGTTTGGGACTTACCTAGGGTATTCGGCTTCTTTAATAAAGAGATCTCATGTATTATTTATTGGTTTGCTCCCAACGTTCTACAATGGTTTTTGGAGTTTTGAAAATGTCATTATTTGTTAAAATTTCCTGGCCAAGCTATGTGGAACGACTGGTTTTTCATGGGGAAATATGTTACAGGAAACCTCTTTCCTGACAGATGCTAGGAAAGGCAGTTAAAAATTTTAGATCCTCCTCAAAACCTATTTCGTGATTTTAATAATTTTCCAATTCCCTAGCACAATGCGGAAATAGTCTGGATTGCATGGCAGTTTCTAAAGTTTCTTGAGACTTTAGCTTGCTGGATAGCTCAATTATCATGGTTCAAAATGCACTAACAGTCCATGACCATGGCCCAAGGAATCATGTGAAAAGGGCACCCAATAATCATTCTAAATAAATTGTTTGAAAATAAAGGAGCATGGACTATGTGTAAACTTACTAAATTTAAAATTTAGAAATAAAGGGTCGTGCAACCATTCAGTGGGAACTTTTTGATACTTTCTCTTCAAGTCACATATTGTTACCTTTTTACAAAAGGCAAAACAGTATAGTACTATTTACAAGGAACCAAAAGGGAGAGCCATGTGGAAGAGATGAGGTGTACACTGGGTGTACATACTGTGGTTAAGCTTTATAGCCTCTGCAGAACATGAAATATTCCTCTTTTTCAGGAATTAAGTGTCCGATAAGCAACAGTTTTTAAGGAACAGGCGAGAACGCTAGTGTTAATGAGCTTTGAAGTACTGTAAAACATAATGCTCCTTTGGAGCCATAGAGTAAATTTCACGTAATCTCTTGTCTTATGATTTATAACAGAATTTTGCCATGTGGAAATGATATAGTCAATGTCAGTTTAACTTATTTTTCTTTTTTAATGCAGTCTCTGGACTCTGGTAAAAAAATGTGAGAATTTTGGAGTATATTCTCTGTGTGTGAACAAGCATGGAACATGGTTTTTATGGTTGCAAAGTGATTAACCTTAGAAAGTCTTTTGTGCATGGAAACTGAGATTTATGCTTTCTTTTTGAGTATTTATGTATTCGAGAATGCAATAAAATATTTAGATGCAGTTTTCAGCCATTCATTAGTAGGGTATCTGACGATGCCATTGGTGCTTATTAGCACTTTGAAGCCTATTCAATCCACTTGTTCAGTAATGAACTAAGCATGCTTTTTTAAGAAAAAAATCAGTAACTTCCCCTTGCCTTTTATGTATTAAGCTTAAAGTGCTTATTTTTTAACAAGTTCAGTTGCCTATTTATTCTTAGATGTTTATATTTAAGTATTTAATTTTTATAGTAAGCATCATTGACCAAGTGTATAACTACTTTATTTTGTAAAGTAGTACCTATATAAAGTCACTTGTAAGCATATAGTGCTCTAAGCATATTTCTTCAAGCAATCCAAAACTCACTCTTAAGGGAATCATTGGGTTGAGATGGTGTATTTATTTAAGGTATTGTAGTGTTGAATGCACATCACTCTATAAATAGTTAGAATGTGGAGCTACTTATAATACACTAGACTCAAAGTTCAATTGCATTTTTCTGCACTTACATGTATTGAAATGTATATTTGATTTTTTTTTTGTTTTTGTGAAATTCAGATATTAGGGAGCATGAAGAAAGACCCTCGGTCATTAATGTTGATTACACTGATGAAGAATCTTCAACGGCTTGGTTATGTGCTAAAGGTGAATTTTCTACCCCTTGTTATATGATTACTCTAAAATTTGTTGTGATAATTTATTATTTTATCAGTTTTTAGATGCAAATTGGTGTTCAAGTTTATGTTAGGAATATGTTACACGATTTCTCAAAAAAGAAGAGAAATATGTTATATAACCTATCTCTGGCAGTATAATAAAGATTTATGCATGGCTCCCTTGTCAATGTAAGCTTGGTTAAATTGCAGGCAGTAGAACTGATTGTTTTATGCATTAAGGATTGGTTCCTACCCTTGGTTCAGAAATTTTTATGATTTTGAACATGTCTATTTGACAGATTTATGCTGTAGAGAACGGAGAAGCACTCTCAATGTGGGAACGGCTAGGTGGTTATGTTACAATTTTAGGTTTTGAGCAATATGGACATATTGATTGGACAATGTATGCTTGCTTTCTCTTGTTCAGAGGATTTTCCACTTTTATCTTAGATGTTGGTTATATTTCTAGTTTAGCTTTTAGATAAGATTGGAAAATGGTTTCTTTTTTCAGCATCTGTCTTTGTTTTTATTAGTTTGCTAAACTTGGATTGTTTACATCTGTGCATCTTCTGCAGTTTTGAAGGTATTATTGCTCATTCTCTTGAAGCAAAAGAGGCCATTACAAGGTAGTTGTTTTAGATATAATAAGCATAATCTCCCCTTAACTTTTTTTTTTATGATAGTAGAAGTTTATGTAATAAACAAAAACAATATTATGAATTTATAGATAGATAAAATAGATACGCAAATAAGAAATAGAGAATCTAAAATTTATGTAGCTTTTTTGAAGTGATATTTGATGTGATCATTATTGACTATGACAATGGTTTACAGTTTGCTGGGTATTAGTTGGGTGGGGGCTGGTTCGGTGAAGGAGGAGGTGTGGGCTTGGGGTGGATTGACAAGAAGAAAAAAGTATTTAGAATTATCTCCTTGACTATTTTTTGGGTGATTTGGAAAGAAAGGAATAGGAGGGCGTTTGATGGGTTGGAAAGGGATATTGTAAAGATTAAGGATAGTTGGTTCCACTATTTTAGTTCTATTTTTTTGGGACACGACATGTATAGGATTAATGATTTGGGACGGGTTATAGATAGCATTAATGAGATGTAAATACATTCAATACGGGTTGCACCCCCTTGGTGCTTTTTATTAATTTATTTTTCATTTTTTCTTTCAAAAAAAAATAATTGACTATGACAAAAAGATAGGGGAACAATATCCATAAACAGGGTTGCTTTTTACCCAAAATCCAGAACTATGATGCTTGCATATAATCACTCAAATAAACAAGGATGTTCACATAAAGGATCTTCCAGGTTAAATGGGCTTTAATAGATGCTGATAAATCGTCAGATAGTTTCAACTGAATGACTAGCTGACTGGATTTGAGCAAACTCGAGTATCTGGATGAGAAATGAGTAGATTTGAGGTTGGTTACAGAACTGGTATTGGCTTTTGTGAATGAAGAGCATTTTTGGATCTTGTGGATTTTCAGTTAACTTTGTTGTGGGAAAATGAGAGATATAGATAGATGGAGATAATGTTGTTATGTGAAGAGCAGTACTTTTGCAGAGAGATGTGAGGGTTTTGAATGGATGGGGATCAAAAGAGAAGCAGCACATGTGGGTTGTTAAAGTTGGTGAGAAGAAGAGAAAGGAAAGAAGGTGGAGGTAGCTTCTCGGAAAAGAGAATAAACAGCGGTAAAGTTGGAAATGGAGGTGAGAGAGGGGCTCTGTCAACTTGTTGATAGATGGAGGTATTTTAAATATGTGTAAGTGGTATTTTATACACGTTGCACGTGTATTCTTCATGATTATTGTTTGTGCACAATAAGTGTTTAATGGTGAAACAACTCGTAATTAGAAAGAAAATAAATTTATAAATTTAATGCGGAAGCATATAATAACGTTAGAGTTTACATTATTTACACAGAAATTTGAATGTCCAATAAGAATACGGAAATGTCCATTTCATAGGTTACATAATAAAAACGAAATAAACATATGAAAATAGTAAATAAATGTTGTGGGGAAGTTAACCTCCACTATCTATTGATGGGATCTGGGAGACACTTACTCACAACCCTCCTAC